TTAAAATAACTCTAATAGCTAATGTTTCAAGATTTTCATCACTCTTAATTACTGCAAATGAGGGTCAAACTCAGTTTCTACCAAAAGTGACATACTGTATGTAGTAGGTTTTTCCAGATCACAGGAGAAATTCCTCACAAAAAGGCACCAGGCCGGATTCTAGACCAAAACCTTCTTGCCATGAGGTAACAGTGCTCCCCACTCCACCACTGTGCAGCCATTTTAATGATGATACATTTGCTTGACAGATGTATTTATCCAAAAAGATGCACAATAAGTGCCTAAAGAAAAAATTGACACAGCTACATAATATTAGCTAGATAAGGTACTCTATGCACAGACCAGCAGGTGTTATTGAAGTCAAATGCACTAGAGTGATAAACAATGATAAACAGTCAAGCACACGAATGAAAGAGTGATTAAAATTAACAAAAAAATCATTGCAATGCAAAGCAAAAAAAAAAAAAAAAAAATCTTACAAGCACCAATATCAGCAAGACTTCATTGCATGGCATAGAAAACTATTATTTTGGGGGTGCGGGGTTACAGTGATCAGTAATGCAAGCTTTGAGGCCCATTGACAGGTGCTGCATAAAGTGATGAGAGTGACAGAAGATCAACAGAGACAGTACAGTTTGTCCAAGAATGGAGAGGTCATTCCTCCGCTGAGGAGCTATGGAAGAGAAGGTGTGTAGCTGGGATGGGTGAGTGCCACTAACACAGAGGGGAGTGAGAACTACACAACCAGCTGCAGTAGAGCAGAGTGGCGAAGCAGGTCTGTAAGGAGTAATTACTTCGCACAGGTAGGAATGGGCTTTCTTATTTGCTGCAGCACAAGCCAAAGTCAAGACTTTGAATCTGACCCTGGCTGCAACTGGCAGCCTATGAAGAAATTTCAGCGAGGGAGTAACATGCAAGAACTTGGGAGTGTTGAAAGGCGTAGGGTTACCTCTGGGTACACTGGTGACCCGCCCGCCCCCCCCCCCCGAGCAAAACTTATGCATGGTCTGGTAACTGGAATCTTGTAAACTAAATTGAGGAAGAATGCCCATTGGTACTATAGTGTGAATAAATGGTGTGTGTGTGTGTGTGTGTGTGTGTGTGTGTGTGTGTGTGTGTGTGTGTGTGTGTGTGTGTGTGTGTGCGCATGTGAGTTGAGTGTGCTCTGTGATTGATTGCTGACCTGTCCAGGATGTATCCCAGCCACTCCCTTTTGAAAATATCCTATAGTTATTCCTTAGTAGTACTGTAGTATTTACGGCATAGTTACAGTATTACTGTAGTTTGCATAGTATAACATTATAACTATAGAATTACCACAGTCAACAGTACCATGATATTACTATAGTCCACACAACTGTATTGCTGTAATTTGAATAACTGTAGTATCACTATAGTAATGCTACACTATGGTGGTGAAAATACCACCCATTTACTATAGGATACCTAAAGCTAGGAACTAGTAATTTTTCATAAGGGGGCTGGTCCATTGGATGCAGGGATAGGCTGCACGTGCTAGACTTTTCCACCAGTTAGTCTTATCCCTCCAAATATTGTTCTCCTTAGTTTGACCACTGCCAGGGTGTTTTATCATCATGAAGTTTTTTTTTTTTTTTTAATTTTTTGATTCTGCCAAACATTTCATGCAGATAGCGATCACCGTGTGGAATAGTGTGCCAGGCTATGTTGTAGAGGCAAAAGACCAGGCTCGGTACAGTGCTGGATGCCCTCTATTAAGTACAAAGTACACTTTTCTGGCGGGAAAATGGCAAGTCTTGTTGGGCTGAATGGTCTGTTCTCATCATTCAAATTATTATTATTTTTTTTATTATCATTACATCTTCCACATCCCTTAGCCTACTGTTTGTGTTGTTTAATTTAAAAGGTTAAGCTTGTAAATGATACGCCAGTGACTTCACGAGCATGTGTTCTCCATTGGTGCTGGCTACAGCATGTAACTACTGTATTTCCAAATGTAGCTTCATGTAGTTCCCTTGGTCACTCTGTATCCATTTCAGAATCCATTTGTCTGGCATGTAAGGATGGAATGTTGTTTCTGATCCCTTTTTTCTGGTATCTCCCACCGCAAAATTATGAATGAGCATATTAAATTTCCTTAACTGTGACAGTCATACGTCTTAGTAAATTGGTTGTTAACACATTAATGTCCGTGACTGCCAGAGTCTCAATATGTTGTAGTTAAAGCAACAATTTCCTTAGTAAAACTGGCCATTATTTATTTATTTATTTTAATAGATTGCCTCTTTCCCCTAACCCACCCCACAGCAAGGGAAAGGTGACATCGTGAAGGCAGGGCAACAGTCTGCGTTCACCAGGTCAACATTTATACCCCTTGAGATTCATTAACATTGTGCTTTTCAGCAAGGTCACCACACCCTGCGCATTCCCCTGAGAATCAGGTAATTTAGAAGACGTATAATGAAGCTGTATGTGGTGCACATAAGATCAAGCGGAGAGTCCGGCCTGAGATAATGAAACATAATGGATAATGCATGGTGAATTCCCACAGTGATGTGAGGAAAAATGTCATTAACCCTTTATTGTGCATAACTACTATGTTTATAACTGTACATTCTGTTGCTGAGATATTATCACAACTGAAGAACCCAGAGCTGAAAAAACTTCAGTCATCTAATGTCCATTTTGAGTACATCGAGGCAGTGGACTTAGGTAACTATGAAACCTTACCTCGCAGTTTGTGAAAATGTGACTATAGTACCTTTAGTACTAGGCTCTTCAATTAAAAGTAATATAGGCTTGGAAATTTGGAAAATACCAGCAAAGCTACTCTTCAAAGGGTGGAATGTTCCAGAGGAGCACTATCTCATATTAAGGATTGTTGTTAGAGAGCTCTTTCTCTCTTAGTCCGCACTGAGTGTGTGTGGCTGGCATACGGGGGAAGGGTGTTAAATCGTGAGGAATGCCAGGACTTCTGCGTATGCTGGCCATTGTCATGCTCTCTGAGGAGCGCCGATTTTCTGTGCTCCTGCCTAGTAGTGGGACAAGGAGTTCATACTGTGTCAGAGTGGCACATTCCTTCCATAGTCACGCAACATGCACGGTCTAGCAGCACAGTCCATTCATAAGGGAATATTTTTCTCTCATCTGAAATAAATACAAGCATATAATATTTCTGAAATTCCTATTAAAGAAAGCCCAGAGAGGTATTTGAGGCTGTGTCGGCAGGGTACGGTGGCTGGTTCAGCTTTTTAATCTCACAGAGGGATGGTCATCGCTGCCTTAGCTTAGAGGGGAATTTAAGCACTCCTGATTTGCTGATTTGTCAATAAAGTTACTACAAGCCTACAGCAGATCAGTTCCAAACATTCCAAATGCATTTTTAATGAGCAATCTTGATGGAGCACATGGAGCATGCCTAGTGCATTTGTGTATAGTTTCAGGAATGTCTTATGAAAACTGGAGTTGATTTCACCAGCCAAGTACCTTCCGAGACAGACGGACAGACTGCACCATGACATAAAATATAGAGAGTTCTTTATTGCTTTGAATATGGAGAGAAAGTAACATATAGGACCCAGAATCTCTGATCAGATGAGTAAAACTGCAATTCAAGCAGTTTTACAGAAGCTGGCATTTTATAAGCTGGATGATTGTGCGGACTGGCATGTGTTTATCTGGACAGATGTGGGTATTAAACTGTGAATTTCAGTGCCACCAAATTGCTTTTGTGTTTAAATAACTCTCTGTGGAAAAATCTGTTATTTGCCTTTTCCAATTATATTTTTACTGTTCGATTTAGTCATGACTGTTTTACATTGTTGTTAAAGAGAGGTTTAATAATAGAGTAATATAAATATGAGGACCTGACACTTCGCCTCAAGTTCACTCATGTCACAGAACTTGTGTGTACTGTCCTATAATCTGTCTTAGAAAGTCAGAGGTGATGAAATTGCAACGCCAGCCTTTCAGATTAAGCCCACTATAGTGTCAGGTGTCATTATCACTCTTTGCATGCAGAAACGCGCCAGTAGCTGTGCCTCTTGATTCATTCCATGCGTGTCTAGAGCTGTAAGAAATACGCCATGGTGACCTTGTGAATATGTGGTCCATCTTGTAAAAAATATGGGCCTTCCATTTCAGTACACTTTATGGGCTTGTCTGGTGATCCAGGACTCCTCTGTTATTATAGCTGTGGGGAGATTTATGGGGGATTTGAATTTCTCCATGAAAAGGGGTTAAATGAAACTGCTGATAGAGAATAGGCTTCCCTATGCCTGCATTATTCACATGAAATAGAATCATACAATAAAAACAAAATAAAGCTTGGCAAAGTAAGTAGTCCTTTGGCAGACATTTACCAATGTACCATTGTCTGAATTTGGACTATTTGTTTATGGACCTCATATGATTTTATATTGCCTCTTTCAAACGGATTACATGTGGTGAATGGTGGTTAATCCTTATGTCACAAGAGACTCAAGCTGAAATTTGGAGAATAAATATGACAGTAGTATCCCAGATGGTATACTGGTGGCTTGCTGCCTTTTGAATTTTGGTCAATTGAAGACATTCAATGGCTATCATATACTGTATGCATTTACTTTGTATTTGAAACCCCTATGTGTTCTTCAATGATGTGTGTGGGCAGAGGTTAACTGGGGAGGTTGATATGTTGGGTGCCAATGAAATTCAAAAACGGAAAGTAGTTCCGTTGCCCCCTTATATTTATGCCTATCTGCCCACAGCCCTGCAGCTTTGTCATAAGAAAGATAGATATACTTTATTGAACCCCGTGGGGTAATTTGTCCTCTGCATTTAACACATCCTATAGTTAGGAGCAGTAGGCAGCCACACAGAGCAGCGCCCAGGGACTAACTCCAGTTCTAGAGCCAGTTCCTTTTTCAGCGGCACCGGTAGGAGTGTTCCTATGATGCATGTTTTTGTGGGTGGGGGAGCGCATAGCACCCGGAGGAAACCCCACACGAACACGGGGAGAACATGCAAACTCCACACAAAAAGGCCCCTGGCCAGGATCGAACCCACGACCTTCTGGCCGTGAGGTGATAGTGCTAACCACTGCACCACTGCTGCATTAAAGTTTGTTTGCTGCGAGGTAACCTCCCATCCCATCACCGGGATCCACCTGTGTGCTTTAAATATTTCCCCAGGAGGAAAAAATATCTCAGAAAACTCCTCTCCTCAAGCTCAGTAGGCTGCAAGGAGTGCTGGGGTCAGAGTCTAGACATAAAACAACCATTGTATCAATTTCTGTATGCTCTAAATAACTATGAACACATTAGTCAAGTAAAATGCAACCGCAATGCAGCATTGGGACAATGTGTAAAATGTAAATAAAATAAGTAAGCAGTAATTTGCAATTTCTTTCAAACACGTATTTAATTTAAAAAACAGAACAAAGACAAAAGAAGCATCGTTTTTACTCATCAACTTTGTTTTTTTTTTAATAATAGCAATCTTGAAATGTGATATCTGCAACATGTTCAAATGAAGTTGAGACAGGCGCTCGTAGACCACTATGTGACATCATATTTCCTTTTAATCACACTCAATCATTTTGGATCAGAGAACACTAACCGTTGGGGTCTTGAAAGTAAAATGTGCTCCCAGCCCTTCCTCATACAGGATTGCGGAAGTGTCGTCCGGGGTGTCCATTGTAATTTTTTTGAACTTTGTAATCTACAATAATCTTTGAACATGACACAAGTCCTCGCTGCAGGCAGTGCCATACTCTATTACTATAAAGCCACGCTTTTGTAATACATGTGAAGTTTGATTTGGCATTATCCTGCTGGAACATGCAGGGACATTCCTACAAAAAGACAACATCTGAAAGGCACATGTTTGTCCCAAAATGTGCTTGTACCCTTCTGCTTTGATGTTGCCTTCACAGATGTGCAAGTTGCCCATACCAAATTCAACAATGCTGGCCTGCACCATAACAGATGCTGGCTTGTGAACATATTGTTGATAACAATCAGTATGGACCTTCTCCTCTTTTGAAAATGGACTCATCAGACCAAAGTATTCCTTTCACTTCCCCATCAGTCCATTTCAGATGAGTTCAAGCCCTGAGAAGGTGGTGATGCTTCTGGACGGTGTTGCCATAAGGATTCCTATTTACATTGTAGAGTCTAAGCTTGCACTTGATGATGCCACAAACAAACTATGTTCAATAACATAAGTTTTATGAAGTGTTCATGAACTCATGTGGTTGACTTCATTATTGAAGTGACTTTGTTCTAAATTCAGAGCCATCAGAGAGTACTAAGGTGACACTCATCCAATCTTGGTATTCGCCCTCATCTTATGTGCACCGTGATTACTCCGGTTTCACCAGATTTACTGAAAATAAGCTCCATATTATGGGCCATCAGTTGTGAGGTCCCTAAATTCCATGTAATCACACATAGATAAGCATTGTTCTTAAACTGTTTTAATATTGGCTAAAGCAGGTTTTGACAATCAATGAAGTCACATACGAATTGAAGTCACTCTCTGACTTTCTATTTTAATTTTAATCCTGTGGTAGAACAGTCAAATATAGAAGTTGGCTGGAACAAAGCTTATGAAGACAAAACCTTGCCATTGCACAACTTCTGCAATATTACGGTCAGAAATGTGCACTCTGGAAATAAAAAATTGCCTGGACACTTTTCAATGAAAAGTATAGCTGATAGGTCAATTAACCTAATTGGGTGGCGATACCCGCCAATATATTACATGTATGTGCTTATTAGTGCTGGAAGTTCCTAAACTATATTGTATATATACCCAAACCTTTGCACAATTCCTGTTATTCTGTCAGCTTTACTTACGGAGCAGTCAGGCCATATCTCCCACTCAGGGACATTGAGAAATGAAAAAGAGAAAGATAAAGGGGAAGCATTTGATTTATAATGGGAAGTTTGAGGAGATTTGGCAGCAGTAATTCTGGTGATGCTAATTAGCAGATGAGTTTGCTTATTTCTGGGCTAAAGATTTTCTGTCTCAGTAAGTAAAACAGTAAGTTACTTGAAACAAATGTCAAAAAAATATACTTGTTTTAAGTGCATTTTAAAATGAACTAAACTGTCGAGACTGGCAACCAATGTAAAGAGAAGGCAAGAATACAAATGTCTTCATTAAAATGCCCAGAAAAAAGATTTGCAAGAGACCTTGTGGTTGCAGAGGGCGAAGGAGACTGGGTTCCCCACAGTGCCTCAGAATGTGGCCACAAAATTCATGAATCAAAGAATGATGAAGACCTATGACTCCACTGTGAGCTGATGGATAAGTCATGGCAGACTACATTTGTAGAGTTTTGCCAGACTATTCTGAATCTTTGGTTTCAAAACAAGAGGGACTCATCAACCATAACCCAATACTGATTCTACTGAACCTTGAAAATGGATGTGGAAAAATTATTGAAGTGGATAGATGGCAATGAATTTAGTTTACTTTCATCATGCCATCCTTGTTTGTGGAAACTCCTGAATTCTCCTGGTGTAATTTCCTCCTTGACATTCTACTGATACATGTTTTCATGTAGAAGATGGAATATATTTGGTGGGTGGTGATCAGGCCCAGATGCCTCTCTGCAAGGTGATGGGTTTGCATGGACCCCTTGTGCCAACATCTGTGGACTTTGCTCCATACTGCATCTACAATTAAAGTGGATGGTAAGAAGGTGGTATCAAGAGGAGGAGGAGGGAAAGGGGGACAACATAAAAATTTAACACTTAAGCCTACCTCTCCATTTTGCATTATTGTTTGTGCACGCATCATCACCTCATTCCTCTTTCTGTTGAGATAAGCACTTGAAGTCTATTGTGAGTGTGGCAAAAGACTGATCTGTGGCTTTAACTGCTTAAACTCTAACTTGTCACCAAAGTTTTCCCTTAATTAGATTAAGTTTTTCCCTTAAGTCAAAAAGAGAATTGTTTTCCTATTGTAGGACAATGTAATATATACTGATGGACTTTAAAAACTTATAAGTCTGACTAGATAGAAATAGTATAGTTGGGTTAGGGGAACTTTAATTAGATGATTACATAATTGATACGCGGTTGTCTTTGAGTAAGGAGACACAGCAGTGCGTGAGGTCATGACCTTGTCTGTGTCTGTGGAGCAGGATTTGAGGAATTAGTGATGTAACCTCGTCTGGCTTCACTGATCACAATTGCAATGCTGTCAAATGCCTTTAATCAATCCTTGAGGTCATTAAGACCAGAACCCGAGAGCATTTGTTCAAAGACACTACGTGCGCCATGTCTCGCCTTTCCAGACCCTAACGTGATCAAGCCATTGGGCTGTAGATGGCTGGAACATCCCAAAATTGCATCGCCCAGAGTTTTGAGGTAAGCCAACCCACAATCTCTAACCTTGTGGCTCGTTACCAGGAGACCGGAAGCACCAATGATTGACCCCGACCTGGTCAGAGACGAGTCTCCAACCGATTCTGGAGAATGTTGTCTTCAGTGATGAGTCCAGATTTTGTCTGTACCGACATGATGGAAGACAGAGGGTCTACAGATGACATGGTGAGAGATACGTGGCCCCCTGCATTGCTGAGACAGATCGCTTTGGAGGAGGCTCGGTGATGGTCTGGGGTGCCATTCGGTGCGGCTGGAGGTCCGACCTGGTCATAATCAATGGAAATCTAAATGCAGCCTGCTACTGTGACCTTTTCATCAGATGGCACGTTGTGCCTTACATCACAGACCACCCTGGGGTCACGTTCATGCAGGACAACGCGCGGTCACTCAGCACATGACCCAGCAGCTCCTGGCCCAGAATGGTGTGCGAGTCATGGAATGGCCACCTTTCAGCCCCGACATGAAGTGCATCGAGCATGTGTGGGACCTGTTGAATAGGCGGGTTTGGCAACGCACTCCAGTGCCCAGGACGAGGGCGGAGCTCCAAGAAGCCCTTCTCCAGGAGTGGCAGGCCATTCCCCAGCAACAGCTCAACTGAATGGTGCTGTCCATGCCAAGACAAGTGATGGCTTTGTTGTAGGCATGTGGCGGTCATACTCTGTACTGAGATTGGAGTTCATCTTTGTTGTTGATTTTGTTGTTAAACTTGTCATTGTTGATTCTTTTGTCATTCTTTTTTTGTTGATGTTATCTGACATTTTGTCGACGTTGTTGTTATGGGTAAAGTCAATAAAATGGTTACAAATTTGAATCCGAGTTTGGCTACAATTCAGGTCACAAGTTTTTAAAGTCCATCAGTGTACATATTCTTTGTCTGCTGGTTGCAGCACTTTACTCAAGCTATATCACGCTTATATTTAGAAAAATACTCAAATCCAGGATGCCATGTTTTTTTCTGGCCACAGCATTAAATCAAATGGAAAATATCTAAAATGGAAAATATCTTGTACATCATTTTATACACATTTCCCTGTAATTCAGCAAGACATACTGTACTTGGGATCATTGAAAATCATGGGATCTCCTCTAAAATTCAGAATAGCCCTGAAATTCCACACGTTTGGAAACAACAGCTGCATTTGATGAACCCATATATGGGTCTGTAGATTTTGTGGGGTTAAATGCAGTGTAACTAAAATCTCAGGATTTGCAGATCAATTTCTGTGTAAACAAGGCACGAATCAGATAATTTTTAGAGGTGAATTAAAAGAGATTTTATTGATTTTATATTCTCTTTTTGCTTTGGACATTTGGCTTTTTATGTTTTTTATCAAGCTGACCCTGGAAATAGATATAATTACTCTTGAAAACATGGCTGTCCACTGCTGAATAAAATGTGATCAATCACTGAATAATTTATAAGGGAGGATGCTAATCTTGATTGTGTGATTCTCAGCATAGAATGTGTTCTGACAAGTGAAAATTTTTAGCTCTGTCCCTAGTCATGTTTTGACATGGACTTTCGAGTTGGTTGACGCTGCCTTCACTGGCAAAAGACATTTCATTGCTGGCTATCAAAATGCGCTCAGTGAAATTATGGGTAGAGCAATCTTCTATTCATGAAAGGCTGTACCGTATATCCTTGTTGTGCAACAGCAGATGCAACATTCCCCTGGGAATTTTCAAAATTTTATGCTTCTGCTGAGCTTGGCTTTA